GATTTGGGCCATCTTGTGGGGGAAAAGCAGATTACTTCCCACTTGTGAGCGCCCCTCTCTGGTGGGGAAATGTTTTTTCAGGGATACAAACTTTTTCAGAACACCGGTAGACGGCAGCCATTACAGATGAACATGTGTTTGTTGTTGTTCAAGGAGCGGCCCGGTCACACACTAATGTCATTAGTTCGTTATCATTACTAAGGTGCAGGAATACTTTTTTCCCCCTTTTTTCATCATGTCTCCTGCCTGGATCTGTTACTATCTCGCTCTGAAGCACAGAGGAGTGTCAGAGGTAAGCTCGTTTCAACTGCTTTTTACGACGCGGTCTCATTTCGGGACTTAATAATTTTGTGACTGAAGCCGATATTTCAGTTGAAATACATAAGTAAATATATTTATCCCATTATAGTACTAACCCCCAATTTTATGGATGATTTTATGGATTTAACTSTACGTATTATACTTGAATAAATACGGTAATTTATCATAATTGTCACCCCGTCTTGATATTCCTCTGTTCGTACAGACTACATTTCACTGCAGTATTTGCATTGATTTGTGTGAGGACACTGGCAACCTTTACCTCCATGTTCACCTTCCTCCTTCCATCCCCGAACACAGGCAGATATGCCGGCTGAGGGGAAATGGGATTCCAATCAGTGGGATATCATCCGGGATCTGCTGACCCCYACACTCTCAACAGACACACAAATCATCCGTCTGCACACGCAGCCACAGACATAGTCTAGGGGTCAGTTGCAAGGACTAGCAGGCTAGGTTTCAGTCGACTTGGCAAAACTCGAATAACAGGAAGTCGTGTAAGAAAGCATGTGTGCATCTGCATGTGTGTCGCATATTGCATCTGATTTCAGCCCATATGGAAACCGTCGACAACAATACTATGTTCCAGAAGGTCAATCAAAGGCTGCAAAGATGAGCTTAAGCTCCCAAAACTCACATCTCCAACTGCATCAGTTAGTTGTTTTATGAGTTTTCTAACGACTAAACGAGAAATAAGATCTGTGATGCTTCACTTTAAAACAACTGTTGATAAATTAAAGATCTCACAAACTTTAGAGCAGAGGTTCTCAAACTGGGGTCCCAGGACCCCCAGAGGTCTGCGAGTCGTGTCTTAGGGGTCCTCAAAAAATGTCAATAAATTGTTCATTTGTTTTTTATTTTGAAAAATGCATATGGAGAATAATGCACTAGTAAAACAAACATGCCAAACCAAACAAAAAATAATATCACCATGGCATTTAGGGGTTAAAATAACAGTAAATTATTTTTGCATTAACAGCATGGGGTTTATGAGGGGGTCCCTGGAAATTTTTTACCTTTGAAAGGGGGTCCCCAGTCCCAAAAGGTTTGAGAACCCCTGCTTTAGAGAACACTGCCTACTGCCATTCATGACAGTGGCTTGCAAAATAAACTTGAACACATAACCTTCAATTTTAACTTTATAGTCATTTTCACAAACAGAAAATCAGGGTTGTTGCCAATAATTTCAATAAAAAAATAAAACTTTTACAAAAAGAACAGCTGCCATTAGGGGTGCAACAATACATGCATCTGTATCGAATCGTTCAATATACACTACGTACGGAACAATACAGAAAATTTTATTKTATCAGTTTGTCTTCTGAAGATGCTCTSWGTTGAAGGATCATAAGATCTGTGTTCGACTACTCCACCTAGGCTGCATTGTTGACCGTAGATCAACTGAGAAACTTGCTGTTTCAGCAACATTTAATTTAAAAACTGTGCTTTTGAGGTTAAACTAATGTGCATAATTAATTTCAATAAATTACAAGTGAAGAAGGGCATGGAAATTTGTCTTTTTTGTTTAGAAAAAATATGGAACTGTGACACTAAAGTAACCGAATTGTGAATTTTCTGTATCGTTGCACCCCTAGTTGCCATGTTTAACACGTAAGGTGTACAGTATGTTGGGGATGACTTCAGCTACTAACCCAAATTTTCAGTCTTTATCTACAAAACTAGTGTTAGCCTTTTTTTTGTTTGTTTACCATAAGGCCAGTTGACCTAAAAGCCATTGGGTTGATTCCAACATGTTTGCAGTTACAGATGTGTACCCAATTGAGTATAATAAAACCAAAATATTTTGCTACTGATACACAAAAACACACACAGACGGCAGCAAAAATCTTGGTCTCAAGCAATAAAAGCAGCTCGTGAGTATTTTCCCCAAAAGATTTAAAAGTTAGACGCTAAAAAATATCGAATTATGAATACTGGTGCTTGCCATTTGGTTTTGTGTATGTATTTATGTTTTCTTGCCTTCAGTGTGACATTTAATGGTGACCTGTAGAATAAAAGATGAAATAACCCCAGCAACGGTTCAGTCAGATCCCCAATGAAGGAGCAGCTGAGTGGCGCACACACACTGTGCAAGTCCACTCAACATGAGCACTCGAGGAGCCCACACTCATTATAAAGACACAGGCGCGCGCACACACACACACACACACACACACACACACACACAAACAAAAGGGCTGCACGCTGTGTGTGTGCTGAACATGACTGTGATTGAGGAGACATTTTGAGGCACCCATTTCAGCACGCAAACAAACGCACACCAAAAGAAAAAAAATAACACGGGTTTTTCTCACCTTTGATACTCAAATGCATAAAAAATCATCTGCGCCCGCCTTAAAGCCAGTAAAAAACACTCGGTAGCTTTTGAAAACCTTGTGACCACAGCACTCAGCAAGAAAAAAAAAAAAAACCTCACACAGCCTCAGTTTGACTAACAGTGAGTTCTACTTCACAAATCACTCAAAGAAAATGTACACAACCTGGCTTTGTGGGAGGAAACTTGCATCCTGAAAGCTGCTGCCTTTCATGGCTTTGTAGCTTTAGGTGCTTCAAAAGGTACTCATTGGCCGCAAAGCAATAAAAAAATCTAATAAACTACAATTAAAGGTACATTTAAGCTGGCATCTGCAGTGAGTTACAAACGTTTTTTTTTTTTTTTGCTACAGTATTACACATGTATTTTCTACTGCACCAGCATCCACAGTATTTGCTTTTCATAGGATGTTTTATTGAGTCCTTTGAGCTGAAATGATGATTCTGTCCATTAAAATTCCTCCATGTTTAAACCGCTTTGTTTCTTTTCAGTAGGTAAATGCAATTTTTCCTTTTAAAGTAAACAGAATCAAAATGACTTTAAGGTCAATCTAGCTACAAAGGTTTAAAATCCAGCAAAAAATAAAAATAAATAAAAAGCTTCAGGTTTTACCTTTTTCATGCGTCCGCTGCGAGTTCCAGTGAACACCACGGTGTTTCCTCTRTAGTCGTAAGCTGCCACAGAGGTCATGCCATCGTCCTTGTCCACGTACAGGGGGATGCCCTCGATGGCCTTCGTGCCTCCCAGCGGCTGGTTGAAGTCCTGGCCACAGAAGTTATCGTCTATCTGCAACGGCTGTCATGTGAAGAAAAAAGGGAGAGAGAAAGGTTAACTTGACCTTTTTTTACACCTTTCAGGTTTCCTTCATCTTTCATTTYGAAAGATACAATTATTGTCTAATTTCCCTGCACAGAGTCAACAATTCACGCTCATGTTGAAAAGTCATGTTGCTTTTATTTGGGGGTTGGTGTGTAATCACTACATCAAACAGATTTTTTTTCTGGCAAACACTCGATTTTCCCCTAAGGAATAAATAAAGATGAAATAATAAAACAGAGCTATTCAACTGGTGGCCCGCAAGCCACATCCGGCCCACGAGTGACCAAAAATTGGCCCACCAATTGGTTCATTCATCTTTTAAAGGCACAGTGTGTAGGATTTGTTGTTTTCAGCGACATCTAGTGGTTGAGTGGTTGAA